CTCCTCCTCTCCTCCTCCTCCTCCTCTCCTCCTCCTCCTCCTCCTCCTCCTCCTCCTCCTCCTCCTCCTCCTCCTCCTCCTCCTCCTCCTCCTCCTCCTCCTCCTCCTCCTCCTCCTCCTCCTCCTCCCCCGTGGCGATGACAGTCAAGACGCTGAGATAAGGAGATCACCTCGTGCTTAGGAGGCGGCTTTCCTGGAGAAGGAGCTCCCCAAGATGGCGGACTCGCTGACGTGGCGCTTGTGGGGGCCACGGCAGACGTCAGCCTCCCATGGCCAGGGTGGGCACGCTCATCGATTCCTCCCTTCTCCCTGCATCGCCTTGCCATGCAGGCACGACGGCGAGATAAGAAAAGAGCGCGTTCTGTGGGCGCTTGGCGGGGGGGGGGCTGGAACCGGCCCCCTCCCCCCTATGGTTAAAGGCGGGGGTTCGAACCCCTCCCACCCGTGCCTGCGCCGGCGCCGGCGGCGGCCCCCTACCCCTCCCTGGACGGCGCCGGCGGCGGCGGATGTCGCAGCCGGCGGGGAACGTCGATGAGGGCGACGATTCAAGGAAGGGAAGGGGGGTTCGAACACCCCCCTTTCCACCAGGCCGGCGCGGGCACGGCGACGACGACGACGACGACGGCGACGACGACGACGATGACGACGACGACGACGACGACGGCGACAACAACGGCGACGACGATGACGCCGGCGACGACGAGCACGACGACGGCGACGACGACGACGACGACGACGGCGACAACAACGGCGACGGCGGCGACGACGACGACGATTGCGCCGGTTGCGACGACGACGACGACGACGACGACGACCACGACGACGACGACTACTGCGACGACGGTGACGAGCACGGCGACGACGACGACGGTGATAACAACGACGACGGCGGCGACGATGACGACGACGACGACGAGGGCGACGAAAGCCACAACGACGACGACGACGGCGACGACAATGACGACGACGACGAAGACGACGATGACGACGACGAGGACGACGACGACGACGACGACGACGACGACGACGACGACGACGACGACGACGACGACGACGACGACGGCGACGGACGACGACGACGACGACGACGACGACGACGACGACGACGACGACGACGACGACGACGGACGACGACGACGACGACGACGACGACGACGACGACGACGGCGACGACGACGACGACGACGACGACGACGACGACGACGACGACGACGACGACGACGACGACGACGACGACGACGACGACGACGACGACGACGACGACGACGACGACGACGACGACGACGACGACGACGACGACGGCGACGACGACGGCGGCGACGACGACAGCGACGACGACAGCGACGACGACAGCGAAGACGACGACAGCGACCGCGACGACGACGACGACGACGACGACGACGACGACGTAGGCGGCGGCGAAGACGACGACGGAGACATCGACGACGACGACGCCGCTAACGATGACGACGACGCCGACGACGACGACGAGAACGGCGACGACGACGACGACAACGACGGCGACGGCGACGGCGACCACGACGACGGCAACGACGACGACGAGAGCGACGACGACGCCAACGACCACGACGATGGCGACGACGACGACGACGACGACGACGACCGCGACGACTTCGCCCATGACGACGGCGACGACGACGACAACAATGACGATAACGACGACGACAGCGACGGCGGCGACGACGACGACGGCGACGACGATGGCGACGACGGTCACCTCGACGACGACGACGACCACCACGACAACGACGACGACGACGACGACGACGCCGACGACGCGGGCGACCACCACAACGACCAAAATGATGACAACAGCGACGAGTACGACGACAACAACAATGACCACGACGACGACGACGACGACGACGACGACGACGACGGCGACGAGCACGGCGACGACGACGACGACGACGACCACCACCACGACGACGACGACGAAGACGACGACGACAAAACGACGACGGCGACGAGGACGACGACGACGAGTACGACGACGACGACGGAGACATCGACGACGACGACGACGACGACGACGACGACGACGACGGCAGCGACGACGGCGACGACGACGACGACGACGACGACGACAACGACGACGACGGCGACGAAAGCGACGACGACGAAGACGGCGACGGCGACGTCGGCGACGACGACAGCGGCGACGGCTGAGACGACGACAGCGACGGCGACGACAACGGCGACAAGTGTTATGACGGCGACGACGACGAGCACGACGACGACTACGACGACGGCGGCGACGATGACGACGACGACGACGAGGGCGAAGATGGCGGCGACGACGACGGCGGCGACGACGGCGACGACGGCGACGACGGAGACGAAGACGACGACGACGACGACGACGACGACTACGACGACGACGGCGACGACGACGACGGCGACGGCTACGACGATGCCGACGGCAACGACGGCAACGACAACGAATATGACGGCGTCGCCCACGAAATCGACGACGACGACGACGACGACGACGACGACAACGACGACGACGACGACGACGACGGCGACGACGACGATGGCGACGACGGCGACGTGACGACGACAACGGCGATGACGACGACGACAACGACGTCGACCACTGCAGCGACCACGACGATTTCGAGCATGACGACGACCACGACGACGTCGGCGACGACGACGACGACGGAAAGTGCGGGAAGCCGCGACGCAGCGCGAATATTATCTATATTTGAAGTCCTGGCCCGTCCATATTTCGATATTGAGGTCCGAGGACAGAGGACTACAATGGACATTGTCGTCATCGTCTTCTTCGTCCTGGCCATCGTCGCCGTGTCGCCGCCGTTGGCCGCCGCCGGCGCGCCGCCGCCTGCGCGGGGGGGGGGCTCGGGGGGGCGGGGGAGGGGGACGGAAGTCCCTGTGGTTTTGTTCGACGGCGCCGAATGTTCGGGGGGGGGGTCCCGGTCCAAGCGCGCCGCCCCAATGCGCCTCCTCCTCCTCCCTCCTCCTCCTCCTCCTCCTCTCCTCCTCCTCCTCCTCCTCCTCCTCCTCCTCTCCTCTCCTCCTCCTCCTCCTCCCTCCTCCTCCTCCTCCTCCTCCTCCTCCTCCTCCTCCTCCTCCTCCGAACTCAGGACCACCTTCGGGCTTGAGAGGGGCTCTGGCTTTCGGGCCGCTCCCCGGTTCACTAGGCTTAAGTCGGGCGTGTCACTCTACAGGAGGAGCACTCTCAAGCACAGCAACAACATATTCCGGGGGCGATTTTTTCATACCAGGTTTGACAATCTGCACACGCTGTTTGACTTGTTGTTCGCCCAGGTTCCGCCGGTAGGGGGACGCGCCCGACCTAATTCTAGGTTGGGGGAACCCCTTCGTGGGCGAGGCACAGTGACAAAATATTCCGGGGGCGATTGTTTCATACCATGTCTGGCAATTTGCACATGCTGTTTGACTTGTTGTTCGCCCAGATTCCGCCTGTAGGGGGACGCGCCCGACCTAATTCTAGGTTGGGGGAACCCATTCGTGGGCGAGGCACAGTAGCAAAATATTCCGGGGGCGATTGTTTCATACCATGTCTGGCAATTTGCACATGCTGTTTGACTTGTTGTTCGCCCAGATTCCGCCGGTGGGGGGACGCGCCCGACCTAGTTCTATCAGGAGGGAAAAAAACACACAGACACAATTAATCGTCGATTTCCCAGAAAATATGGGAAAATATGGGAGGTGGTGGGGAAGACAAAAACCCAGAAAATATAGGAAAATATGGGGAATATTTTTATTTGTGTGTATTTATTTGTGTGTCCTTGGGCCCCTTCATTGTTGTTCGCCCAGATTCCGCCTGTGGGGGGACGCGCCCGACCTAGTTCTATAGGCTGGGGGAGCCCACTCGTGGGCGAGGCTCGCCGTGGCCAGAGGAGCCGTCGGTCCTTATATTCGTCCTTCCCTCTGGTAGCACGCAGGCCCGGGAGCGGTTCTGGTGCCTGGACCGTTCCTCGAACCTGGGTCAGGTCTGGGAACCTATTCGTTGCCGAGGCTCGCCGTGGCCAGAAGAGCCGTCGTTCCTTCTTCGTCCTTCCCTGTGGTGGCACGTAGGCCCGGGAGTGGTTCTGGTGCCTGGACCGTTCCTTCGGGGGCGGAAAAGAGGGGGGTGATGCCTAGGGGGGGGGCGTTCCTTGAACCTTCGGGAGCGGAAAAGAGGGGGGTGATGACTACTAGGGGGGGGGGGATATCATGGCGCGGGCCATGATGTCTCTCCAGATCTCGTGGCGCCGCTTCTTGTTTCATCACGTCCCTGGCCCCCCCCCCGCTGGGCCGCGCACATGCCGCCGGTCATGATTTGCGCCCCCCGCACACCCACCCCCAACCTCCCCACCCTTCTCTGTTTTTCTTGCTGTGGCAAGGCCACAGAGTGGATCACAAATCGTCCCCAGCACTCCGGGTGGGTGTCGCGATCGGCCGAAACCCCACTGGTCTTTTGTTTCCTCCTCCTCCTCGGCTCTGCCTACCTTCGCCCTCCCCGTCCTGCGGAGCAGCGGCAGCAGCGGGGGAAGGAGTGGGCAGCGGGAGGACAGGGGGCAAACGAGGAGGAGGTAGTACAGCAACAACGCTGAAATAAGGACCGTCTCGGGTGCGGCTGTTTCTCCAGCTCCCCTCGTTGAGGCCAACACGGGGGGTCGTTCCTTAGTTAGCGTTCCTTAGTTCAGCAGCCCCACTGTACGACGACTTCGTGAAGGAGGAAGCCAGGGATGAGGATGCGGAAACGATGAGGAAACAAAAACGTAGTAGGAGGAGGTCGAGGAGGAGGAGATTGAGTGAGGAGGAGGGCGACGACCTCGAGGAAAAGGAGAAGGAGAGGAGGACGACGAGAAGAGAGAAGAGGATGTCAGGAGGAGGAAGATGAGGGCGACGAAAAGACGACGACGACGACGCAGGAAGAGGATGAGGGCCTCCAGGATCGGCCAAAAAGGATGAGGGCCTCCAGCATCGGTCGGCCCGTGCCGGAGGTCGATTGGGGCGACGACGAGGCGAAGGGCGACTCCGATTTCGGGGACGCCGACACCGAGACCGATGAAGAGGGCGCCAGCGCCCGACTCTGCGCTCGCGGCGCCAGGATGGAGGAGCAGCAGGGCGACCGGGGCGCGCAAGCGGGGGCCAGCGTCAACGGATGTCTCTCTCCCTCCCCCTCCTCTTCCTCTTCTTCTTCTTCTTCATTTTCCTCCTCCTCCTCCTCCTCTTCCTCTTTCCTCCTCCCTCCTCGTCGCCCCCCCCCGTCCTCGTCCTCGCCCTCGTCGTCCTCGTCCTCCTCCCGCAACCGGTGTCAGCCGACCCCCTCTGGCTGGCCCGGGTTTGGGAGCCATGCGGGGCCGATCCCCACTGGTCCGCCTTCCGCTGGCCCGGGTCAGGCAGCTGCTGAACGGCGGGCGGGCTTCGCGACAGTGCTTCGGCCGACCCGGGTCAGTGCGTCCCCGAGTCGTGCCGACGCGGCAGCGGCCCCGCCGCGGGCATCCGAGGCTGAACGTCGCCGGTGGCGCAGAATCGGCCAGTATGGAGCGATCTGGCGATCGGGAAGCCGCCGCTCGTTGAAGGTTGAACGAGCCACGCGTTGTCAGAGACCAACGCTGGGGTCGTCAGTCGTTGAAGGCATGAGGCGGGATACCCCGAGAGCACTGGCACACTGTCAGCCTGGCGGTCGCGGTATGCAGAGTTTGCGAGGCGTGTCGGAAGCGCTTTTCTCCAAATCTAACAATCACAACTTGTTGGGTGGGGAACAACGTACACTGACCACTGCAAGCGTGGGGGCGAACATTGTTGGAATAGTATGGGTAAGGTTTAAGGTAATGGGTTGGCTACCAACCAGAGTTGATAACGAAAAACCAACCGCGGAACAGGATGTCAATCTCGCCATTGTTACGATAATGCAGGATGGTGATTAAGAAATTCGTAGGGTTCGTGTTCACGCGGCGGCGCCCCGGATGATGATTAGAAAAAGCAGCCCTGCGCCATGACAGTTTTTGTTATTAATCGTTTCCCCCACCCCCCATCTCGGGCGCGCGCCCGGACAGCCGACGGGCCAGACGGAGCCGAAGCGGAGAGGGAAGGGAGTCAACAGCAGCGGGATACAATTACAACGGCGAACGGATTGGATTTGCAGTTACCATGAGCAGTAATAGGAGGACAGGAAGGAGGTGCAGTTGAAGAATCATTCGGTGTTGTAGTAGAAATTGGTAAAGGATCGGAGTGGTAGTTGTAGAGTTTCGAGTTGCGGTCGGGCTTTTTTAGGTGTTGGCGCAGAAGCTGCAGTCGGAGTTTTACCATCCAGGGTGATGTGTAGCAGATATTGTAGGCACAAGAGCTACGCGGGAGCTGTTTCAGTTGCTGGAATTGGAATTGGTTGAAGTCTGTGATAGGAACCGTAGTTGGACATGTGGCAGCAAGAATTGCATTAGGAGATGAATCACCAGGAGCTGCACCAGGGAATGAATCGGTTTGACTCATGTTACGTGCTGAAAATGTATAATGCTCACCATGTGGAATATCAAAACAACCAGCAAAGTCGAAAAACTCTGGCTTGAACAACCCCCGTGCCATTTTTACTGGTTTCCATATGGCATTATGTGTGTGATACTTACGCATGACGAAAGATTTTCTTCTTGAGGTGCAAATGGCGATGATGAGATGGAAGTTAATGACCGAACCCCCTTCCCCCCATTCAAAACGGGGCAAAAATCGGACCCGCCGTAAAAAATAAGACCGAACACGGATCCAGTAAATCCGAAATCGGATCCGCGCGGACGGAAATCGGATCCACCGAAGCAAACGCCAAAACCACAATTGGATCCGCGTCCGTTTCACGGGATCCGGCGGTGGTTATTTCTTGCGCGTCTGCTCAAGACTTCAAGCCGCCGTTCCGGGCCCAAGAGGAAAAAAAATCGTCTTGGGGATGTATGATTGCAGTTTTGCCCAGACTAGGTGGACAATGAGTTTTTAATGTGCAAGCCAATGGCCATTGCACCTGTTGGCTGTTACACTGGAATGTGCACGGTTTTGAACGCTGAGGGCTCAGAGCGCTCGCATGCCTTACTCTGCGCGCGTCGTTGTGCAATTGTTCGCGCGGCCTGCATGTCAACTTCGTTGTGGGAAGGACCCGCGACAAAGACTATACCGAACCCGTTGCTTCAATGTGTTGAAGTTTCGATGTGGACATGAAGTGTCTGGAAGGATGCGCCCTCTGTCGCTTTCCCCCTGGCTGACCCATCTGCCCGTTATGTTGGGACAGATTGTTGGTCATATTGGGGCCTCCGAATCGGTGCATGTTGATGCCTCGGATCCCGTTTTTGAAATTCCCTGGGCAATATCGGAGATAGATTGGAACCTCTGGAGGGGGGCATTCGGGATGGCCCTTGGCGGACATCTCTGGGGTTCGGGGGGCCGTCTTGCGCATTCGGGGGTCAGCGGTGGGGGCTTCTCTGGGCCGAGCTACGGCTCTCTTGGCCCGTCGGACGCTTTTGCGGGCCATTTTGGGGGGCCTCTTTGGGCCGTCTTGGTGGCCTCTTGGGGAGTTGTCAGCCGTCGTGAATGTCGTGGGCCGTTTTGTGGGTCCCCCGGACTGTCGCCGGGCTCTCTTGGGGGCTTTTGGGCCGTCTTGCGGCTATCTCGGAGGCCCCTGGGGCCGTCTTCGGCTGTCGGAAGCCCGAGCAGGCGAGATTGCGGTAGACATTTCAAAGCCACAGCAAGAACAAGAATGTGGACCTCATCGGGCCATCCTGGAGGGCCTCATGGAGGCCTTTTGGGGTAGTTTTTGGGCCAGACTGGGTCATTGAGGAGGCGTCTTGGGTGAACTTGGAGGCATCTTGATGCCATGAGGCAAGATTGGAGCTATCTCGGACGGAAAAGTCGACGGTCACTGGTCCGCAAGGCTGGTTGGCAGCATAGGCCGACACCCGATTTGGGAACCTCTTGAAGGCCTCCTGGATGGATTTTGTTGAGCGAATCCCCGCTCCAGGATCCCAAAAATCCTTCCTGGAGGGTTTCTGTGAACGAATCCCCCCTTCAGGATCCAAAAAACCCGTTCGCCCCGGAGGGGTCAGGAGGGATTTGGTTCACGGTTTTCCACTCACGCTCGCATTTCGGGAGGATTTTCCAAGAATGAACCCGGCACGACCCCAGTACTTGGCATTGCTTTGCGCCCGAGGAACCTCCGAGCAACGAGGAGCCCGAGGAGCCTCCGAGCAACAGGTAAAGTAACCCCCCGAGGCACGGGGCGGGGAACCCGAGGAACCCGAGGAACCTCCGAGCAACGGGCAGAGTAACCCCCCGAGGCACCAACCTTTCACTGAGTAAGAACCCCCTAGGTAAGCCTACTTCAGGAAAGTCGGAGGCACGGATGGCGGGGAGCCCGGGGAACCTCCGAGCAGCGGGCAAAGTAGCCCCCCCGAGGCACCGAAGGCGAGGACCCCCCGGGAACCCGAGGAACCCGGGGAGCCGAGCAACAGGCAACGTTCCCCCCTTGAGGCACCATTTTCTTCACCAAGTAAGAAGCCCTAAAGTTATGTCGGGCCTGTCCCCCTCCAGAGGAATGTTCGACGAAAAATAAAACAATCCCCCAAAATGCAGCAAGAAGGTCAAAAAAGATTCCAAAAATAGTCCCCTGACTATTTTTGGATTATTTTTTGATTATTGTGGGAGTATGTTTATTTTTCGTCGAAAATCTTCCTGTGGGGGGACAGCCCCGACTTAACCCTAAAGCAAACCTAATTGGGGGAAAACCCGTCTCGAACCCTTCTGCCTCCCGCCCCGAATGCTGGAGACCCACCCTCCAGGATCCCAACAGCCCCTCCTGGATGGGATTTCCCAGGACGGGTTCGCCCCGAACTCTCACAGCGGCCTCCCCCGTGAGCCATTTTCCATGTGGTCTCGGGTGGGAAAGGTCAGTGAACTTGGGGTGCCGTGCCATTTGGCCCCGGCAAGGGCCTGGTGGGGGGGAAGGGAAACATCTCGCACGCTTGGAAGCCCCAAAGGGATCAGCGCACTCTCCCTGAACAGCTTGTCTGGGGAAGGGGAGGAGGAGGAGGAGGAGGAGGAGGAGGAGGAGGAGGAGGAGGAGGAGGAGGAGGAGGAGGAGAGGAGGGGATAGGACGAGGAGGAGGAGGAGGAGGACGAGGAGGAGGAGAGGAGGAGAAGGAGGAGGAGGAGGAGGAAACAGAAGAAGAGGGGGAGGAGGAGGAGGAGGAGGAGGAGGAGGAGGAGGAGGAGGAGGAGGAGGAGGAGGGGAGGGTTTTCAGAAAACAGCCGGTGCGTTGCCGGATCCAGAAACGGTCGGGCGACGCTGCCTCCCGTGGCCTCCCAGTGTCGTCCCTATCCCTGCATCCTTGTCCTTTCACCCCTGGCCCCACCATGCTCATCCCGACCCCACCATCGTGGCCCCCGTCGCAACTATGCAGAGCTGTTTTGGGCCTCCTGCCGCAAGGGTGCAATTTTGACATATGTTCTGGGCTCGCGCCCGCCAGGGGGCATGTTGGATCGGGTGGACGACGAGGACCTCCCGCCGGAGTGAAGGGTTTCCAGGTCGACCGGCGCCGCGGCTTTCCAACGCCTCGTTTCATGATGCATTCTCTCTCCCGTGCTACAATAACAGTGTTCCTCCTCCTCGTCCTCCCCCTCCTCCTCCTCAGTTCCTTCTCCTTATAGATCACTTCTCCCTGTCGCACCCCGAGGCCAGTTTTTAGGGCGGGCCGGGCGTTTCGCCTGAGACTTTCTCACCATTATGACCCTGAAACTTAAAAATCGGCAACAGCTTCATAGATGGAGGGCGGGTCGTTTTCAAAAGGTACCTCTCGCTTTAGAACCGCGCATATTCGTTTTCAAATTTGCAAGAGCTTCACATATTGAGGGCGTGTGGTTTTCAAAATGTGGCTCTCGCCTGAGCGCCGCGCACATTCGTTCTAAAAATTTGCAGGAGTTTCTCTGATTGAGGGCGGGTGGTTTTCAAAATGTGTCTCTCGCCTTGGCGCCGCGCACACTCGTTGTAACAAATTGCAAGAGCTCCCACGGATTGAGGGCGGGAGGTTTTCAAAATGTGTCTCGCGCCTTAGCGCCGCGACATTCGGTTTAAAAAATTGCAAGAGCTTCACTGATTGAGGGCGGTTGTTTTTTTCAAAATGTGGCCCTCGCCTAAGCGCCGCGCACATTCATTTTAAAAAACTGCACCATTTCACACACATTGAGGGCGGGCGGTTTTCAACATGTGGCTCTCGCCGAAGCGCCGCGCACATTTTTTCTTATTCGCAAGAGCTTCACGGATCGAGGGCGGCTGGTTTTCAAAATGTCGTTTTCGCCGAAGCGCCGCGCACATGCGTTTCATACATTCACAAGAGCTTCACGGATTGAGGGCGGGTGGTTTCCAAAATGTTGTTCTCGCCGAAGCGCCGCGAACATGCGATTTAAAAGTTTGCAGGAACTCCAACGGATTGAGGGCGGGTGGTTTTCAAAATGTTGTTCTCGCCTTGACGCCGCGCACATGCGTTTTAAAAGTTTGCAGGAACTTCCACGGATTGAGGGCGGGTGGTTTTCAAAATGTTGCTCTCTTAAACAGTTGCAAGAATTCCACGGAATCCCATGATCGACGTGTCAGCAATGGGGTTTTGGAAGGGTTCACGATTTTGAGGGCGCAACAGTTACGATGATTCGCGAAGTTGAGATCCCAGGAATGGCGTTTGGGCAAGATTCAGGATCGCCAAGACGCAACAGTCAGGTTAACCCGCGGCGTTGGAATACCGAGAATAATGTTTGGGCATGCTTCAGGGTCTTCAAACGACTGCCTTCTAACGTGGCAGGTCCTTCTGTGGAAATGAACCGTTGTAGGGGCCTATGAAGAGGGAGCTTGGGGGGAGGGTTACTCCAACATCGTTGGTGACTCTTGGTTTAACACTGGTCCTCCTCCTCGTCCTTCTCCTCCTCATCCTCCCTTCTTCATCCTGTTCGCTGTTTCGAAAAAACAGCAGGACCAGAAACCTTCGAGGTTCCGCGCGACTTTGTCGGATTGGCGCTGGGGCCCCTTTGGCGCCGCCTCCACGCACCAGAGATGGGGGCCCAGCGCCGATCCAAGAAGTCCGAGCAGATTTCCGAAGTTTTATGTTTATGCTTTGGTGTTTTCCTCTACTCGTGTTGCTCCTCATGCTCGTCGCCGCCGCCCCCACTGCTGCACCGCCGCCCCCATTGCCCCTTCAATCTCAACTTGGGCGCTCACCAGCTCCCTGGCGGACGTCATGTTCTTGTGTTTTCTCAAAGGAGAAACTGTTCCTCCTCCTCCACTTCCTCTTCTTCCTCAGTTTCTTCTTGCGTTGGGTTCACTTGTGCGGACAAATCTCGGTGGCACCATTTGTACAAGCAATGGCGCACCAGCAAGCAACCACCTGGGACAGTGCTGCGACAGCGGAGGAGACGTGCACTGCAGTGGTTTGCCCCCCAAGAAACGGCAATCCGCTGCAGCCGATTGCGAAGCAGCGACCGTGCGTTTCCCGCGTCACGGAGATGGCTCCTGCCCTCCTCGAGTTCCTGTTTGTTCCTGTTGAGTTCTGCCGTGTTCACCGGCGTCGTGAGCACGAGGCTCGGCTCCTAGCAGGTAGGAGTGATGAGCCCGAGAAACCCGGGCCCCGCAAGAGAGGCAGCTCCCAGGTCTCGGGGGTGGAGAGATTCATCTCCAAGAGGTCGTCGTCCAGGTCTGGGATGTCCTTCACCAAGTAGTCGCTGCGGAGGGTCCGCAGCGGAACGTGCTTCTCAGGCATCAATGCGATTGCACCAGGGACCCTGCGACCGATCTCCGCCCACAAGTGGCAGAAACGGGCCTCGCGCTGGATGCCGAACTGCGCTTCCTCTGCCCCAATAAGCGGGTAGTTCACCAGCGCCGTGAACATTTCGTCGCGCGGGTGCTTTTCGATCACGACCTGCTGACCCGAGCCTGCTGCTCCTGGCCGGGGTCCTGCGGCGCGTCCGGGACGAGCTCCGGGCGAGGGTCTGCCGTGGCACGACTGTATTCATGCCCCTTGTGGCTGGCGACCCACTGCGGCACATTCGCGGCTACGTCGGCACGCCACAGGGCGGATCCCCAGGCGGCCGTGGCGCCGCAGCGCGATTGTCACCAGCCCTCCTGGCGGCCGCGCCGGCCGCGCCTGCCCGGATGCGCTCTTGAAGGCAATCGGCCTTGCAGATTTGTTGGTCTTGCAGATACGACAGCTCTTTGCGCCGCTCGACCTGAACTTGTTGGTTCGTGCCACACTTCCGAGCAAGTTGGCCCAGGTACTGTGCGTTGTCCAGCATCACGGCCCTGACTGCGGGCGATCGTTTTCTGCCCTGAGAACATTTCCGGTGCTCTCCAGTTGCTTCTGACGAAGATGATAGAGATGCACCCGGCGTAGCCAACCTTAGCATATCGACCTTAATGAAACCATGGGGAAGCTGGGCAATTGGGACCCCGAACAACCGACCGACGAGGTACATAAATTTGTTGTGTCCTAGTGTTTTCGTGAATGCATCTTTGGATGTTCTTGGTCCTTGGCGCATGGTCCGGTAGTTAGTATCCATGGCTAAGGAAGAGCAAGTTCGTTTGGATCGCGAGCTGCACGCCTTGGTTGTCGAGTTAGCCCTGGACGACAACTGGAGCAGCACGGGTGCCCTCGATCATGGCTGCTATCCCGATGTTTTGTTTCGCCGTCTTGCTCCAGGCGAGCGTCTCGGACTCTCTGGACCTGGTGATCGCAACGTCCTGTCGGGTAGCTCCCCAGGACAGCGGGTCCTGGGAACCCTTTGGGCCGGTCGGTTCCAGGTAGAATCCCGTGGTGTTCGTGGAAGCGGAGAAATTTGCGTCGCTGCGGGCATGTAGCTCCAGGTCGTCCCAAGACTCGCCGGAACTCAGTACCACAAGGCCGTATTCCGAGCTGACGACGACGTAACCGACGAAGTGGCCAAGCTCTGTCTATGCTCAAGGGCACCATTTGTCTACGCACCGAGCGAGACGACAGACTGCAAACGAGAAGTCCAGCCTAGTCCAACGATCTGCATAAAATGCCTCACCAATATTTCTACGCTGACTGGTTCCAGCCTCGGCTGGCGCCAGACCCCCGGCCGTGAAGGCATCGTTTTCTGCGCTGGCGTTGTAGCGGGTCGCGCGCTGTAGCCGACAGTCGCCTCGTAGTCTCTGGCGATCTTCTGGCAGTACTCCGAGTGGGACAAGACGACGGCGGCTCTCGCGCGGCCATTTGCACGACTCATTCGGCGAGGTACATTGCACGAGCTACCCTAGAATTTGCAGACCACCCATGGGGTATTGCTGCTGAAGGCGATTCTGATGGCATCCAAAACGAAGGCACGGTGACGCGTTCCAGCGTCTAGCTCGCAATCATCGGCGTAAGTCGCCATAGAGCTGCACTGTTTGGGGCTCCTTCGCACGCGGCGTTGCGTCGAGGCCGAGGACTGGGAGACGTCGCGCCACGGCGCGCGGTTGGACTGCGAACGGTCCGAGCAGGATTCTTGCCAGCGCCGCGTTCGGCGTCGATCCACTTCTTCAGTTTTGCAGCGAGCCGCGTGGCCTCACGGTCGGAGCCCCCGTGCCGGAGATAGAGAACATCCAGCTCCTCCCCCATGGACAGCCGCTTGTTCCAGCTCGATCAGGCGAAAGTGGCTATGAAATCCGAGCCGGAACGTTGAAGACCATGCGACGCGCGGACCAACCTACACATTGGCATCGTCAGGGAATGGAACTCTTGTTGGACGCGCGGCGGAAGAATGTAGGACGTCATAATGATGATGCAACGCCCCTCCTCTCATCCGAAGTGCACCAGAAAATGCGCACTGGGAAGATCGATGGTCTCCACCTCGCGTTCCCTCGAGAACGAGCGTGCTAGGACGGGCGCCCACGGCGACTCCGAGGGCGAAAGCACTATTGTCGTTCACCTGTCGAACAAGACGTTGCCCACGGCTGCGAAGCGGGCCTTGCACTCATGAAGTGCTCGCGGCTGCCCCCAGTTCTTCTCGGAGACAGGGGCCCCCCTTTGACGAATCGGGCGCCCTCCAGAATCGACGACAGCTGCTCGGCCAGGCGTTCGAACATGTTCCACGGCCATCTGGACGTTGGAGATGCAGTTCAGCGCCCATCGGCTGCGCGACGCGCGCCGCCTGACGGCCCAAGACGCACAGCATCTCGACTTCGGGCCCCAGCGCAGCGATGGCGCTCGCGAGAATGCGGAAGGCGCCTTCGACGGACCCCATCGCAACGGCAGCGGCGCCCACGGAGCGCACTGGCTGGAGCGAGCGAGTTGCAGTCGCCAGCGCGGCCACCTCATCGCGAGACAAATCCGGCTGGACGTCCTTGCTGCGAGACGCAACGGGCGCGAAAGACGAAGGAGTGGCACACGCAGCGGCGCTGCCCCAATCAGAGTCAACGCCGCCTCACTGGCGCGGGATCTCCACCGGCGCGACCAACGGGTTGGACCGGACACGTTCGCGGGCCCGCTTCCGCTTGCGCCCGCGCCTATAGGCTCGCTGCTCCTCGACAGTAGCGAAACGGCCGCTGGGGCGTCGCGTCCGTGCTGCGGGGCCGTCGGAGGCGCCAGCTCCAGTCGGGCGCGGCGCAGCTCCTCGCTTGCCCCTGGCCGCCGCTCGCGCGCCCGCCGTCGGCGCCGCCGCGCCGGTCTCCGCAGCCGCGGAGTCCTTCCAGGGACGAGGCGCGCCCGACTCCGGGACGTTGAAGAGGCCGACGAGAGGGTCGAGTTCACCACCGCGAGTCTTCAAGGGGAACTCCGCGTCGACGAATCGGACGGCAGTCGAAACGATGATTCTCTGGACCACCCATTCGCCCCCACGCCAGGCGACAGGGGCAACCCTGACACCGCGAACCGTCTTCTAGCCGAAACAGACGAACACGCCGAGCCGAGCAACGCCCTCGAGCTTGTCCGCCTCGCCCCATAACCCTATGGGAACGCCCGCTTGGAGGAGAAAAGCACGCGCGATCTCGAATAGCTTTTGGACGCGCCATTTCGGCGACGCCGCTGGCCTCCGACCTGGAGCCGCCCGCGTCGGTGGGGATAAAGCCACGCCCCCAGAGCGACCTGTCAACCTCCACCCATTAAACTCTCCGCCGCCGCCCGAGTGGAATCGCCGCAGCCGCCGTTGGTCGAACATGCAATCAACCATCGCTTCGTGGGCGCGTCGCTGCCCCATTTCCTAAGCCTGCCCTGCTGTTTTTCGCGTAACCTTTTTCGCCTGGGCCCCACCACGGGCTGTCTTTCCCCTGCCCCTGGCCCCACCCCAGGGCGCGTTCCAGCGTCCGCACGTGGGCATTCGTTGCCCTAGTGCCCTGGCTGATGGCAGATGCGGCTCACATCCTTAGGTAAGGACTTGTTTGCATGGTTGCCATTGTGGTAAAACTTACAGCTGTTGCCCCAACAGCAGAACCCGCTGAGGTAGAACGAACATGGGATCCAGGGTTGCTGGTCCTTGCCTTTGCCGTTGCTGGTCTTGCGCTTGTTCAAGTTTTTGTCATTGTCTTTTCCTTCGTCGCGTCTGTCGGTGCGCACTGCGTTCGCTGGCACCCTCACTTGCTGCGAAGAGGTCGCCTCTCCAGCCCAGTGCCCTGCTCTGGCCTCCGCCATCTTGCACATGGCGTCCGGGTTGCCCGGGGAGGCCATTCCCATGATTTCAAGTGGGGCTCGCAGGATGTTTACTTTGCCCAACAGCTGTCGCAAAGACCGAAGCAGTGTGTGCTTTGACGGTTCAGAGCCGGCGGCACGAAGCTCGGAGAGTTCCGTTTGCCGCACTTTCAGATCGTGATGGAGCTTGTTGTGATCTGGGACTGGCAATGGTGACGCAAATTTGAGGTACAAGGTTGGCCGGAACCATGATGGCGTCGTGGAGCGAGGCTAGTATGGATACCCCGTCCCTGCGAGCAACGCCCGTCCAGTAGAGGCTGGCGTTTTCGCTGGCATGCGCACGCAATTCAGACGCAGGGTTTCTGTTGGCAATGGTGAACCGGGGCTCGCTGTGCACTCCGGAAACGCCCGAGGCAGGGCGGCCGAGGACGCAAGGACCGCCCCCGCGAACCCCTGCGGCTGCAGCCCACACCACCCAGCGAGCTCCGTGTGTGTCCAAGCGCGCCAAGCGGAGGCGTTCGGCAGCGCGCGGCCTTGCGCCGCTCGGCCAGGCGGGCAACGGGTGCTTGCAGCCGTCGCCGGAGGAGCGGGCGGCTGAGAGTTCGTGAGCCACTTTGGCTGAGCTCTCCCCCATTTGTGCCATGAGAAAGGCTTGTGTCGTGTCCTGAGTGCGCGGTGTTGTCCTCGTGTGCTGTCCCTGCTGTGGCCGGTGCTCAATGATACTTCCAGTTGGACGTGGTGCAGCATCGCGAGCGCCACAATCACGGTCGGGTGGAGGGAGATCGTCATCTAGATCCGAGCCGCGGTCGGAGCAGGGGATCGGGATGTCTTTTGCATCGATTGCCATCCAACGTAAACCCCGATAAGAAAATCGAAGGCCATCGCGCTAAGGTCATAATTTGCAAATACGCGCGGGCCTTTCACGGGCCTTGAGCCACAACGCAGCGTGGCAGCCCACCTCCTTCCCGCAAAAAGTATTCGTGGAGTCCCCGTTAGAAGGGCGCTGAAGGACCGACGAAATCATCCGAAAGCCTCGGCCATCCACGGCTGACCTTCTTCCATCGGGGGCCACGATAAGGGGAGGGGGGAGATAGGCACAGGGGGGATGCATCGACCCCGAATCGCCCATTGATTGCCAATAGGGGCCCGACAGCGCCAATCCGCCCTGGAAGGTGTGGTTTCGCTATCGGGGGCTCATCGACGATCTATCGACGATATATCCCTTGGCACCGGGGAGTGACCCAGGGCGGACGGCCGCGCCATTTTGCTTTTGACAACGCAACGCCGCTTGTTGGTCCCACGGCAACACCCCTGTTGCTCCTAATATGTTCCTTGTATCCCCCCACCATCGCGAATACAGAAAGAGCAACGTAATCAACATGTACCCCCGCCCTCGTTCATCATATCTTCTCGTGCTTCGCCACTGTTTCGCCTCAATGCCCGTCTTCCTGAGTTTGGTCATCCTGATCCTCGTCGTCCGCCTATTCACGCCCGTGCAGCTTCGATATCGCATGCGTGATGGCGCTCGTGCGCCTTAGGGAATCAGCTTACACTGTGTGTTCAGCTGCCTGCTGAGTTGACTAGGCAGTTGAACTAGGTCACCCTAGCTGCCTACGCTTGCGAGTTCGAGTGCAGTGTTCCTGGAGTGTGCACGACTCGTGTCTTCGAGAGAGAGAGATAGAGAGAGAAAAAAAAAGGGGGGGAGAGAGAGAGAGGAAAAAAAAATAGAATGCATGCGAGGGCAGTCTTTCATGGGATAGTTCAGCAAGACGCTCCTCCCAGGGGAACCTCTCTTTCCCCGCGCGTCCTAATTCGCCGCCGTTGCCCCCTGCTGCACTGACAGCACCAGGGCAGCCCTGGGGCCCATAGGAGACTCGGCTTCGGCTGCGCCGCCCGCGGAAAGCCGGCCCTCTTTGGGAGGGGAGGGGCCTTGAGGGACGCAGGTCTTGCTCCTGCTCCTCCTCCTCCTCCTCCTGCTCCTGCTCCTGAGGCGTTCCGTCATGTTCGGACCCTCGGGGCCCCCCCAGGACCCCAGGGGCTGTCAAAGCACGAGCTCCGATGACGAAGCAGCATTGGAGGAGTGCCGCGCGGCCTTCTGGAGCCCGTTTCCGTCAGGACCTGTGTCTTTTCATGCGTGATGGACAGTGAGCAGCTGGAGCAGGATCAGGAGGGAAGAAAAGCACAGAGACAAATCAGCGTCGATTCCCAGGAAAACATGGGAAGTGAAGGCGAAGACGAACATCGAGAAATCATCAAAAAGATTGGGCATCCTGGGATTTGTGTCTATTTGTTTGTGTGTCCCAATCGGGCTCCGAGCAGATGGTGTCGCGCCACACCGCCGCCGATCCATTGTCGATGCGGCTCGACGTGGAGCCCGACTCCACGCCGACGGCGGCGATGCATCGCCCACGTCGCCGATGTGAAGGCAACGTGTTGGCGACGTCGGCGCGATCCTCTGACCCCGCTTACTCGGACCCCATTGGGGAGACCCTTGGAGGAGGAAGAGGAGAAGGAAAGGGAGGAGGAAGAGGAAGAGGAGGAGGAGGAGGAGAAGGAGGAGGAGGAGGAGGAGGAAGAGGAGGATAAGGAGGGGGAGGAGGAGGAGGAGGAGGAGGAGGAGGAGGAGGAGGAGGAGGAGGAGGAGGAGGAGGAGGAGGAGGAGGGAGAGGAGGAGGAGGAGGAGAACAACGAGGAGGAGGAGATCGGGGGAGGGGGGCAGCGACTGTCGTGTCGGACCGCCCCGCCCGTGCTCTCGCGGCAGCTGTCCAGAGTGTTGCCCGGGCATTGTTGAGTGGCATCGCTTGGACGCGCGTGTGTGTGTGTGTGTGATTGTGTTTGTGTTTGTGTTTGTGTTTGTGTTTGTGTGTGTGTTTGTGTTTGTGATTGTGATTGTGTTTGTGTTTGTGTTTGTGTTTGTGTTTGTGTTTGTGTGTGTGTGTGTTGCAATTCCCGCGCGTGCGTCAAGGTGGAATGTCGGGAAGCCGAAAAAGCAAGAACGCCAAAATCGCTAAAAAAAAATTGCATGGCAGTCCCTGATGCTGGCATCTTGAGGCCTTCATGGGAGGCCTCTTCGAGGCATCTTTGGGCGTCTTGGAGGCTTCCTAGGCCGTCTGGTGCTTCAACCGTCTGGGGCGCTTCTCGGCGCCCTCTTGCCCCGTCTCGGGGCCCAGTTGCGCCCGAAAAAATTTGGCGACAAGACGTCCCAAGCCCCAAGGGACACACGGGAAGACCCGGGAGATTTGGCAATTCTGAGTCCGGGGGATTTGGCAGTTCTGTTTTTTCAAGATTGAGGATTGAGGTCAGGGGATGGGGCAAAGGACCTGAGGATACGCCCATTCCGTGCCCAGCGGCACAGTGGCGGATATCGAAGATGGGGGGCGAGTGAACGGAGGAGAGAATACAGTCGGGGCTATCAAGAAGAGAAAGAGCGCTTTCTGACGCTGCTGGCAGAACACGGGGTGGGCCACTGATCAGTTTCAACCCCTCCCCCCTCGAAAATGGGGGGGGGTCGTTGGGGGTTCCAAACCCCCCTCCCCCTCGGTCCTTGCTGAAAAGTTAGGGGGCGTCACTACCGGATCGAACCCCCCATCTCGGAAAAGTGGGAGGGATTACGGATGGATCCCTTTCGTGGCGGATCACAAGTGCACTCCTCCTGTGGCGGATTACCGATTGGAGGCCTTCTGCGGCGGATTCTGCATGTACTTCTTCTGTGGCGGTGCCGGCGCCTTCCAGCGCCTTCCTGCACCCCTGTCAGGCCACCAGGACCTCCTCGCACGGGAGACCGGGATTGCCGCGTGGGCACGTCGGCTCTGGCGTGATCGACTGGGGCCCGCTCGGGCCCGTCGGCTCCGACCGGGTCGAACGCGGGGCTCCCGCGCGAGTCCGTCGGCTCCGGCTGGGTCCACCCGGGGTCGCACGCGGGTCCGTCGGTCCCGCCCGGGTCGAACGAGGTTCGCGCGCGGGTCCGTCGATTCCGCCAAGGGCTCGCGCGCGGCTCTGCCGGGACGACTGGGCCGATGTCGGTTTTCCCACGACGTCAGCTCCGACCCGATCGACCAGGGCACGCGCGCGGGTCCGGGTCCGTTGGCTCCGACTGGGACGTCAAGGGCTCTCTTGCGCAGGTCCATCGGCTCCAACCGGATCGACTGGGCCTCCCGCGCGGGTCCGTCCGTTCCGGCGGGGTCCACGGGGCTCGCGTGCGGGCCCGTCGGGTTCGGCCAGTGGCCCGTGGGCGCGGGCGTGGGCGTGGATGTGGGTGTGGGCATGGGCGCGGGTGTGGGCGTTGCCGTGGGCGTGGGCTTTGGCGCGGGCGTGGGGGCGGGTGTGGGTGTGAGTGTGGGTGTAGGTGTCGGTGTGGGTTTGCGTGTGGGTGTGGGTTTTGGGCGTGGGTGTGGGCGCGGGCGCGGGCGCGGGCGCGGGCGTCGGCGTGGGCGTCGGCGTGGGTGAGGGCGTGGGTGAGGGTGTGGGTGTCAGTGTGGGTGTCAGTGTGGGTGTCAGTGTGGGTGTGGGAGAGGGAGTGTGGGTGTGGGTTTGGGGCGTGGGTGTGGGCGCGGGCGTGGGCGTGGGCGTGGGCGTGGGTGTGGGTGTGGGTGTGGGCGTGGGTGAGGGCGTGGGTGAGGGTGTGAGTGTCAGTGTGGGTGTCAGTGTGGGCGTGGGTGAGGGAGTGGGCATGGGTGTGAGTTGGTATTGGTGTAGGTCTGGGCGTGGGCGTGGGTGTGGGCGTGGGCGTGGGCGTGCGCTTGGGTGCGGGTGCGGGCGTGGGTGTGGTTGTGGGCGTGGGCGTGGGCGTGGGCGTTGGCACGGCCGTGGGCACGGGCGTGGTCGTGGGTGCGCGGGCGCCGTCGCAGGCGCGGGCGCGGGCATTGGCGTGGGCGCGGGCGCTGGCGCGGGCGTCGGCGTGGGCGTAGGCGCGGGCGTTTGTTGGGTCATGGGCATTCGCGTCGGCGTGGGCGTGGGTGTGGGTATTGAAGTGGGCAGAGGCGACGGCTCTGTCATGGGCGTGGGCGTGGGCGCGGGCGTCTGCTGGCTGATCGTGGGCGTGGGCGTGAAGTGGGCGCGGGCGTGCGCGTTGGCGTGGGGGTGGCCGTGTGCGTGGGCCTTGGCGCGGGCGTGGGGGCAGGTGTGGGTGTGAGTGAGGATATAGGTGTCGGTGTGGGTTTGGGTGTGGGGTGTGGGCGTGGGCGTGGGCGTGGGCTTGGGCGCGGTCGTGGGCGCGGGCGTTGGTGTGGGTGTGGGTGTAGGCGTGGGAAAGGGCGCGGGCGTGGGCGTGGGTGTGGGCCTGGGTGTGAATGTGCGTTTGGGTTTGGACGTTGGTGTGGGTATGTGTGTGCGTGGGCGAGAGCGCAGGCGGGGGCGTGGGCGTGAGCGTGGGCGTGGGTGTGGGCGTGGTTTCGGGTGTGGGTGTGGGTGCGTTTGTGTGGGCGTGGACGTGCCGTGGACGTGGGCGTGGGTGTGGTGCTGGTGTGGGCGTAGGTGTGGGTTTGGGTGTGGGTGGGAGCGTGGGCGTGGGGTGTGTGTGTGTGTGTGTGCGGTGTGTGTGCGTGGTGTGTATGTGTGTTGTGCGTTGTGTGTGTTGTGTGTATGTGTGTTGTGTGTGTTTGTGTGTGTGTGTGCGTTTGTGTTCGTGGTTGTGTTCGTGCTTGTGTTTGTGTTTGTGTGTTGTGTGTGGTGGGGGGGGACGTGGGCGTGGGCGCGGCTGTGGGTGTGGGCGCGGGCGTGGGCGAGGGTTTGGGATTCAGCGTGGGTGTGGCTGTGGCTGTGGGCGTGGGCGTGGGTGAGGGTGTGGGTGTTTGTGTGGGCGTTGGTGTGATCGTGGGTGTGGGTGTTGGTTTGAGTGTAGGTGCGTGTGTGGGGCGTGGGTGTCAGTGTCAGTGTCAGTGTCAGTGTGGGGTGGGTGTGGGTTTGGGTGTGGGTGTGGGCGTGGGTGTGGGCGTGGGCGTGGGCGTGGGCGTGGGTGTTGGTGTGGGTGTGGCTGTGGGCGTCTGTGTGGGTTTGGGCGTGGGCATTGGCTTGGGTGTGACTGTGGGTGTCGGTGTGGGTGTGGGTGTGGGCTCGGGCGTGGGCGTGGGCGTTGGTGTGGGTGTGGGTGTGGGTGTGGGTGTGGGCATGGGCGTGGGTAGGGCGTGGGCGTGGGCGGAGTGATTCTTTTGTGGCGGATTACACATGGATTCCTTTTGTGGCCGATTACACATGGATACCTTCTGTGGCGGATTACAAATTGCTCTTCCTTGTGGCGGATTACACTTTGATTCTGTTTGTGGCGGATTACAAATAGAGTCCTTTTGCGACGGATTACCTTTTGTGGCGGATTACAGGTTGATTCTTGTTGCACCAGGATTTTTTTGGGGGGGATCATAAAAGGAATCCCTTTGCAGAGAATTGCAAAACAAATGTATACATGTAGTGATCTCTCCCAGTTTTCTGGGTGGGGGGGTTCAAACCGGTAGTGAACCCTTCCGGGTTTTGGGAAGCGGTGGGAGGGGGTTCGAACCAGTAATCAGTGAAACCCCCGGTATTCCAGGGGAGAGGGAGGGAGGTGGGGGGGAGGGGGTTCGTGCCGGAGAGGGAGGACGGGGGGGGTTCGAGAAAGGAGGGGGAGATTTTTGGGAGGGAGGCGGGGGGGAGCCCCGGGCTGTGGAGGGAAGGGGGGGATTTTCCTCAGCAAAGCGGCGACGGATCACGCTCTCA